TTTAATAATAACCGTTAGATGAGAAAATGAACGATTAAGATGGGTTAGCATAGTTTGCACAAAATATTGGGTTAGTATTTGAACCAGCCCCTATATATATATATATATATATATATATATATAAATGCATGATATATGTGAATATATGCATAGATATATACATATCTATACTACATATATAAGCATTTAAGTCGTTATATTAATTACAACCTTCTAAGCACAAGTTACAATCATCTTATGCAAGAATTTTAAAAATATCTTAATTACAAATTATCATGCATAATGTACAAGTTATTTATGCAAATGTTTCATACAATACCAAATCTTAATTGGGCCAAACCTTCTTTCTCCCTATCAAACTTCTAAAATCACCAATTTGGGCCACTTTCTTCTTCTTCTTCTGTACCCAATCGCTGTCTTCTCAGTCTTACCAATTTTAGATTTCAAATTTCAAATTTCAAATTTCAATTTTGAAATGATTCTTGAAGGGCCTGTGAGAGAGAGACTTGCCCTCAAAAATACGATTCAAGCTTAGGGTTTAGGGTCATCCTCGAGGCACTCATCCCTTACTCAAAACGATTCAGGCTCATCCTCTTCTAAGAGACACTCTCTATCTATCACTCAGGCTTTAATCTCAGTCTATCAATCTCCAGATAATCAATCGGTTCCATCTATTTTACTCTGTTTCCTTTGATTTACAGTCTCTCATCTAGGTAATCACACTCCATCGATTTTGGTTCACTTTTTTTGTACCCTCTTTCGCAGACTTCTTTCTATCACACACTCCTTCCGTTCCAATTTCTGTCCAGATAATTAGGGTTTGATTTCCCACTTTTAGTTCTTGAACTTAAACGCTATTGAATTTTGATTTCTAACTTTTAAACTTGAGCTGCAGTTAACCTATGTGGTATCATAGGTTTGTTTTTTTTATCGCAATCGATTTTTTGTATAGCAATTGGTACCACAGTTTCATGAACAAGAAACTTGACCTGCTGTTGTAGAAAACTGAAATCGATTGTGTGTTTATATGACATAAGATGTTTTTTAGTCTATTTTCTCTACATGTGCTTGTTGTAGTTTGATCAATGGCAGAAGCAACTGGGTCTGCCAACAAGCCAAGAAATGAAAGAGATTCGTAGCTGAGGTGAATTTTTCTACTATTTGTTGTATGCTTCTTTCTTTCCCTTTGAACATATAAAAAAAATTGTTGAGACTTTTTAATCCAAATTTACTCACAATCCTAATTGATGCCTGCATTGTTATGTTTTTTKTAGGTGTGATTGAAGAAATAAATTTGTTGAGGAAAGCCATGTGGCCTTGAACATGCTTTGTAGGTAAGCCATATTTCTTATGTGGACCCATATACAGAATTKATAAAGAGGAAGATATTTATATAACTACTAAAAAACATAATGGATCTGCATACATAAAAAAAAACATATTTAGATGGTTATGGGATAAATTAAGAAGCTTGAGGTGCTTTGAGTTTGATCTGAAGGGGCTTGTGGACAGATTATGTTTTTTACTTGCAGAGTGGTTCAGAGGACCGTCTGTTCCTTGTTTCTGTTTTCCAATTAATTATGGGATGTGTATGGTTGTACCAATCTTGATCTAATTCAATGTAGGTTTCAAGAAAATATGGATACATATCATAACTTAATTACACAGTTCATGCATGATAAACAATTGGATAGTGGAAAAGGAATTCTTCTACATTTGTGTGATGATGTGATTCAACAAGAAGTAAGTCTATAGGAATTTATTTTACTTTTACGTAATTTATGGTGCTCAAGTAAGTCTATAGGAATTCTTCTTTTTATGCTTTTTGATTGGTTTTGATGCAGATGTTCCATTTGAAAAACATCAACCAATGCAGATGTTCCATTCCAAAAATGTGAAAGAGGGCTCGATGAATAGCTGGGTTGGTAACTTAATATGAACATAGTCTCTATGAGCTTAAGCTCTTAGTTGGGTTGGTAACTTAATATGAACAGCTGCCATAAACATATGCCATACACAGATGTATTAGACAGGTTCAACTCATTTTCAAGTGGTCTTTATATGTTTACCTGCTGATTCTGTAAATAAGAAGAAAAAACAATTTAAGAGACTAATTAGGATACAAGTACACATTTTCTTTAAACACCAACTGCAAAAGAAACCCTGCTTGAGTCGAAGGTATCAATTTTAAATCTTTGCTTTGAACTGCTAATCTTTTGTTAAATGTGTATTTCTATCAGTTCCCCTTATGGTTTGATGTCAAAACTGCTTCAAAGAAATCCAGGATGATGCACTTCATGATCAACATCATCCCTCCAAATCCAGGAAGAGCATAAGTAGGTAGAAATATTACTTATGTGTGATGGCAAAGCCTGAGCTAAAATAATACTCTTATTCCTGCAAGAATCGTAGCTCCAAAAAGCAAGAGTCCCTATACACATTAACTATGTTATCTTTCTCTGTTATTGTGTAAACATCTATCATTGACAAAGGCCATATAATAATTTGTTCTAGCAATGTTTTACTTCAATCTATATATGCTTCAATCTAATAGGAGGCCAAGTCCAATTAACCCGTAACAATTGGTAGTAGGAACTCTCAACAAACTTAAGATCATGATTCTAATCAAATGCTTTACCTTTGTTATGAGCATGATGAGGAGTAGAGTTAGCATTGTTAACTTTTCTATCCACCAGAACCTGCAAACAGTTACTTATGTAAGTTAAGTTGTTATTGTATTTCTATAACCAAAGACATACACAGGAAGAAAATATCAGCACATTAAACAAACATACACATATCAGAATGAAAAGTAAATGCAACCAAGCACATCCATCCACATAAACAATATTGTCACCTTCTGTTGTTCTATTTTACCATTTTTATTGTCACCTGCTGTTGTTCTATTTCACCTGCTGTTGTTCTACTTTCGTGGCCGCTGTCAACTGCTGTTCAGCAGCTCTTTTCCGCCTTCGATGTCAATTTTGTCTTAGAATCAGTCTGAATCTGCAGAAACTCAAAACATAAAATTTGTGGGGCTGTTTGTTAGCTTTTCAGATCATCATGAATAACTTAAATCCGAGCTCGGACGAGTTAGATATGCTTGAAATACCATAGTCTCGTAAAGCTGTCAAAAATCTTCTTTTTCTCCCTTTTTCGCTCCAAAGTGTTCCAAACCTATCGACATATAAAAACGCATCAATGTTGTTCTATTTTACCATTTTAGATGTTGAAATCAAAACTTAGAATATTGCAATATGAATTATGTATTTATGTGAGGGACATTTTTATCCGGTAGGCGCTTGTTGGGTAAGAGTCGTTGCTCTCACTTACCGGGTAAGACTCTCGGTCCTTGTTATCGCTCTTACTGGCTAAGATTCTGAATCATTTTCATGTTAGTTCGATAAGGTAAAGTGACCCGGTAAGCACTTATGGGTAAGCACTTACGAATGATGAATTGGGTCTCTAATTTCGGAAGGTGAAACTATGGAACAGATATAGTGTAAAACTTTGCAAATAATGAGCCCTTACTGTTAATTTTGTGGTATACTACTACTACTACTACTATATCGAGAGTAGGTTTGATTTCGTATGACATAGTGGGTTTTTGGGTTTAACCAATGCAAAGTTCATGGCATTTGCTACTTTACTAAAGAAATTAAACTATATACAAAAGCAAAAGTGAATTTTTGGACTAAACCATGGTTGGTCTTTAAAGAGATTGTTTGCTCAAGTAGTCACAATGACAAGTTTCTTTAGTTGAAGCTGCTATGTATCATGTTACATTTGACTGAAGGCAAACTTACCTCTGACTGAAGAGGCCAGGGGCAGGTATGGTAAACTATTGGTGATGGTATGGTATTTTCTTGAGTGTGGTGAATGTTGATGTAATCTTTCAGGGAGCATCAGACTCATGGAATATGCCGATGTCTTTTATTAGTGTAATCCTACTTCCTATTGTTGGTAATACTGCTGAGCATGCCAGTGCCATAATGTTTGCCATGAAAGACAAGCTTGTAAGTGTATAGGCTAAATCCATTCATAAGCGAATAGGTATGAGATTAGTTGATTGATAGTCTAATGTTTTTACTTATAGGACATCACACTTGGAGTAGCAATTGGATCATCAACTCAGATATCAATGTTTGTGGTAATACAATAAATCTATTTTTTTGTTCTTTTGGGTTTTGTTATTGTGTGTGCTATTAGACATCTCTTTGGAAGAGCTTGTGGTAACTTGTAGAAAGTTAAACTGGGGAAAGGGCAGCAACTTTGTTGGTGATCTGACCAATATTCTTGTCCAGTTCTTGCTTTACTTGTACTATGCATAGCAGTTTGTAGATAGAGTTAATGGAAGCTTCTCCATCCTGCTTAACAGATCCCATTTTGTGTGGTTGTGGGTTGGATCATGGGCCAGCAAATAGACTTAAATTTTTAGCTTTTTGAGACTGCTACTCTCTTTTATCACAGTGTTAGTCGTAGCGTTTATGCTGTAGGTATATCTATCTATATATCTATCTATCATGTTAGTGTGAGTGGTGTATTGTAGAAGTAATGGTTTGGTTGTGTGAAGGAAGGAACATCAAATTACTTCAAAGGGGTGATGCTAATTCTGTGCTATCTCATTGTTGCTGCAAGTTTTTTTTGTACATGTGGATAATAAATCAGGTGAGTATCATAAACAATGAAGTTTTTGTTGTCTTGAGAAAAGGAGATGCTGAATTGAGATTAGGAGATTTATTTAAAGGTGAAGGAGGAGAAGAGAGGAGAGAAGAGTATGTAAAAAAAAAAGAATAAATGTTTAACATTAAAAGTGGTTGTATTTGCATGCAGATGATGACTAAAAGTGAAGAGGCAAGAAGAAATGGAAGTGTATTGTTTAAATGTTGTAATTTTGTGAGGCAAGTTCATATGTTGATCCAAAGAGAGAGCATCAACATCAGTCATCAACATTGTCATGATCAGAAGGTAGTTTTGGGTAGAAAAATCATTTGATTTTGGTTGAATGAATGAATGATTGATGTTGGCATGACATGGCAATCAAATAAAGCATGTGCCTGCCTTGCCTTGTTGAAAGGAAGTTCATTCTTGTTCAAGTGCATTCGTTCAGGAAGTTCAGGAGGTGGCTTCCGATTTGAAGATCTAGTTTGAAGAACAGCAGAAGAACCGCACCACCATCCAGAGACGATCGAAACGGATTCGGTTTCTTGGTTCGTTGTAATCAATCGATGACCGTGAACGAATCGTCTTTGCTTGATCCTGATTTCTCTCTGCTGCTGTATTTTTTGGCGATTCTACTAATCCTAACCCCTGGTCCGGAGATTCTTTTATTCATCTCTCATTCAATTGCTCTAGAACTTTCGGTCTCACTCCCGATCTCTTGATTCTTTGCTCTTGGTGTAAATCGAACACATTTGTGGAGTCATTTAAATATATTGGATTTTAAATTGTCATACAATTTTTTTCATTGATAGTCTGTAATTGGAACCATAATTCTTATTTATTCAAATTGTATTAATATGTAAAAATCAAGTGTAACTTATATCATCGTTAAATCTTCTCTAATAAAACTAGTGAAACATAAAAATCGTTAAAATTCACGGCTCTCGCTGCATTGTGCAGGTACACAACTAGTATATATATATATATATATATATATATGAGTGATTTTATACACATGCATATTATTAATGCATGGTGTGTGGGTTTATGCATGTACATGAAGGATAACATGGGAATGGGGCTGTTAGCCAACCTTTCCTGTTTTGGAAAGGTATAAAAGGGAGAGTTTTACCTTCATTTCATTCCCTTGCCATTTTTAAAATCTAAAGAGTGATTTGATAAGTGTTATCCGGATACTCAAAAGAAGTTTGCAATCTCCTTCAAAAAATACTGCAAATTCTCATAAGGTGAGTGATTTCTAAACCTTTTTACATAAAATTTGTTACTTGTTTTATTTGAATGTTGATTATTATTGGAAAGAAATCATGTATTTGTTTAAGGGTTTTATCCAGACAAAGGCTGACCGGATTAAGTTTAAATCGGACAAGGGTTGGGCGATTAAGCCTTAAACCGACCAAGCGTTAAGCGGTTTAGTTTTAAACCGGTCAAGTTTTGGGCGATGTATTGTCCGGACTCTTATCCGAATATAAATTGGAATATTTCTAAGTGTTAAATCGGTTAAGCTTTGGGCAATGTATTGTCCGGATTTGTTATCCGGACAAGAGTGTTGGAATAATTTCAAGTGTTTAATCGGACAAGTCTTGGGCGATGAGTTGTCCGGATTAGTAAATTGGACAAAAGGGACAAGTGTTGTCCGGACTTTATATTCGGATAACTTATCCGGATAACTTTTTATTTGTAATTTTTCATGAGTTTTATATTTTAGATTTGTTATATAGTTTAAAATATCTATTATTGAGTTTAATTATGGATTATAAAATGGGTATTTTATATCTTTCTAAATAAAAAGATATGTTCCTACCAAGCGTGGTGACGTAAGTCTGTTTTGGTTCGGAACAAGATTTTTGGAAAATGTTTCTACCAAGCGTGGTGATGTAAGTCTGTTTTGGTGTGAAACTATATATTTTGGGAAACCTTCCTACCAAGCGTGGTGACATAAGTCTGTTTTGGTATGGAAGTGGA